ACCCCTTTATATTTGAAGATAAATGGTTGAAAGTTAGTAATTTTTGAGACAACGTTAAAGATTGGTAACAAGACATAAACCCAGCTGGAAAGACAAACTTCAAAGTCATGCAGAGGTTAAAATTCATGAAATCGGAAATCAAGAAATGATGCAAGGAGGAAGGAGTCAGATATGAAATGGAGATTGAAGAGTTTTGTGAATGGAGATTTAGTGAAGAAATTCTCCCTTCTCTTATTAATTTCAGGCATCAAAGGGTGCCATTTATAGAAGAAAACAGGCATCTTTCCAGGATGTGAAGGTGTGATAACAGAATTCTGTTGTTACCATGCCATCTCACATTCTAAAACAATGACACTTCACCTACTAGGATTATTCCATTCTGTACGACAGAACGGAGAATTACAACATTTTCTACACTCCCCTTCAATCTAGTTTACATATTTATTGAGTAAATTTAGATTGCATACAATATTATCAAATATCTGTGTTGGTAGTGCCTTTGTTAGGATGTCAACAACTTGTTGATTTGAAGGGATGTGCATAAGAGCTATGGTTCCATCTTCAATCTTTTCTTTGATGAAATGTCAATCTATCTCTACGTGTTTGGTCCTGTCATGATGTACTGGTTTTTTGGCCATGCTAATTATTGATTGATTGTCACACCACACTTTCATAGAAGTATCAATAGATGCCTTTAATTCTAATTGTATTCTTCTCAACTATATCCTTTTACAAATTTCATGTGCAAGTACTCGAAATTCAGATTCTGTGCTGCTATGAAATACTACAGACTATTTCTTGTTGCGCCGTGTGATCAGATTTCCTCACACGTGTAGTAGCTAGGAGTGGGTTTCCTATCGGTTATCGATCCTATCCAATCAACATCAGTAAAGACTTCAATATCCCTGTTTATTTTCTTTTGGAAAATTAGTCCTTGACTTGGTGTCCTTTTTAGGTACTTCAAAATTCTGTACACGGAATTTATATATATTTTTGATGGTTAATTCATGAATTGATTTACTGTATTGACTGCGAAGCTGATGTCTGGTCTTGTGTGTGCCAGGTATATTAGTTTCCCGACTAGTTTCTGATACCTCTCTTTGTCAACAGTCTTCTCACATTCTGTAAATCTCAGTTTCATTGTTGGATTCATAGGCGTATCTGCAGGTTTACAATTAAGCATATTTGTTTCCTTCAGGGGGTTCAGGACATACTTCCGTTGTGATACAAAAATTCATTTGTTAGACCGGGTAATTTCCATACCTAGGCAGTACTTGAGCATTTCAAGATCTTTAATTTCGAATTCTTTGGCTAGAAACTCTTTAAGTTTTCGAATTTCCTCAATATAATCTCCTGTGAGGATAATATCATCTGCATACACAATCATAATTGATTTTTTTCCTGAGATATAATGTTTGACAAATAAAGTGTGATTTGATTGATATTGCTCATACCCAATATGTTTTACAGCTCTAGTGAATCTGTCAAACCAAGCTCTTGGGGATTGTTTGAGTCCATACAGTCTTGAGTCTGCAAATCTTGTGAGACTGATATTCTATTTCCAAACCTGGTGGGATATCTATGTACACTTTTTCTTCTAGATCACCATTCAGAAATGCATTTTTTACCTCCAGTTGATAAAGGGGCCAATCAAGATTTGATGCAAGAGAGAGTAGTACCCGTATTGTGTTGTGTTTGGCGACTGGAGTAAAAGTCTCCTAATAGTCTATACCATAAGACTGAGTAAGACCCTTGACCACAAGGCGTGTTTTGAGTCGATTTACACTCCCATCTGGGTTATACTTAGTCGTGAATATCCGTTTACATCCAACTGGTCGTTTCCCTGGAGGTAGCTCAGACAATTCCCATGTCCCATTTTTTTCAAGAGTACTAATCTCATCTTGAATAGCTGTACTCCACTCTAGTATTTGAAGAGTTTCATGTACTGTCTTTGGTTCTGGAGAACTGTTGTCAAGGTTGCTTACAAATGCATTATGTTTC